CCTAAATTCTCACTGCTGATCGGTAGCGAGACCAGGATTAGAAGCCAGAGTCTGACTCCAGAGCCTGTGTTCTTTCTTCCATTACGCTCTTCTCTGTGAGCTCCACCCCACCTCCCCTAGCCTCAGAACCTTGAGTATTCAACAGAGCACTGAACCACAGTGATTACTCAATAAACGCCTGTGGGATTGAAGAATAATGTAAACTTGTTCGCCATATAAAGCGGACAGGCCTTCAAAGAAGTGGAAAGCAAAGCAGGACCCATGGGCAAAGAAGTGCCACCTGGGACCTAAATATCACCACTTCCAGCCCAAAGGGGAAAGACTTCAAAATGACCCCAAATTAGTTCTGCGTAAGTAGGTCAAAGGATTCAAAGCAAATATTGCCGACTCACTTGAGAGACAGCTAGGAAAGGATTTGGTTCCAGCTGAGCAGAAATTCAATTTTGGCATCCATTCAGCTAAAAAATAAGGTCAGTTGTTTAAAATTGTGTCCCAAGGAAAGCCTAAGTGTCACAGGTGATTATCTTCAAACTTCCCCAGCGCCCAGGGGGGGACCCAACGTTTTAGTTTTAGAATGCTTTTCCTGAGGGCATTTGCATAAGCATCGATTAGCCTTATTCCCAGCTTGGGTTTTATATTCAAAGGGTTTACTCCAGTGCTCCGTATCACCGGGTTTTCCCAGGTCATTTAAAAATCTCATTTCCCTACAGCAACAATTCTTTGTGTTCCTCTTGCATATCCTCGTTGGGGCAGACAAGCCATCATTCTGGTTGTTCTCAAAGAGGCAGCCAATTATGGATTTTTATAATTAGAATTCTGAAACATGACATTTGAGACAGGCCTGCTTTCATCCAGAGATCCCCAGGGCATAATCTAATTACCAACAAGGTACAGTGCCCACAGTCTCGCAGAGAACTCCAGAGGGAAGGCTCTCTATCGACCAGAGTCATAAATAATAGATCATTAGCTCATGAGCCTGCATTTATTGAATACCAAAGAGTGTTGGATATGCCACAGGGTGGTAACAAAGGTTCTGGAAGGATTCTCCCAGCAGGTACGGTAGGTGGGGCCATTCTCCCATCTGGTGTGGTGAAGCCATAGGGTTACAAGAGTCTGCTGTGTTTATAGTCCAATAAACACAAATGGGTCCTGTCCACCCATCCACTGGAGGGACAGCAATAAGTTCCCTGAGGAGGCCAGAGTTGAGAAGATGCTAGTTGTAAAGTATGGAGGAGAAGAGAAAAGAGCAGGTATGACCCCCTGTAATGGGAGTTCTTGGATGGGAGGCTTGAAGGCTGGCTATGTTGGGGCCAACACAGCAGCAGTGTTCATCCTTCAAGAAGTAACAGAGGGGCAATTGCTCCCTGGCGAGACTTACACAGCCCTTCACCTGGACACCACTCAGCGTGCAGGGACTTTGCCTATTCTTATGTTGGTCCCCATTGGAATATTTGGCTAGCTTCACATCCCAACCTTTAACTTCCTGGAACCTGGCTATCTCTGACACAGAAAATGCACAGTGCCTCCGCTCTGTCCCAGACTAAGCCCAGGGTCTTATGTCACTTGGGATGCTTTTTGTTGAAAAAACTGCCTTTGAGCCTCTGTGGCTCTTGTGTGACCCACTGAAATGCTATGTACTGTTGAAAAACTCTTCATTTAGTTGAGTACAGTTGTCAATCATTCATTCAACGAGTATTTATAGAGTGCCTATCATGTTGTCTGGCACTGTGCTACCGTGTTTCCATAAAAATAAGAGCTACCCATAAAATAAGCCCTGGCAGGATCTCTAAGCATTAGTGCAATATAAGCCCTACCCCTGAAAATAAGACCTAGTGATGGGCGTGGCTGTGCAGCGTATCTGCACAACCCATGCATTTCCTCTCGGAGCAGAAAAGAACACGAGCAGCCCTTCTCATCTGCCCCATGAGAGCTCTATTGCTCGACATGAGAGATTGGGGCCAATGGTTCTAAAGGAAATAGAGTTGCAAGAAATTCAGGATGGAATTCGGGGTTTGGAGAGTTATGATGATGTTCCAGATGAAGACGACTGAACTATATTTGAATAAATGTAGATTGTTGTACTGTACTTAAAAAAAAACAAAAAACACATCCCCTGAAAATAAGCCCTAGGGTGTCTTCTTGAGGAAAAATAAATATAAGACCCTGTCTTATTTTCAGGGAAAGACAGTAGGTGCTGGCAACACAGCCAAGAGCAGAACAGACAAAACTTCCTGATCTCATGGAGAGATAAGAAAATTAGATCAGATTGTCCATTCTAGATGGTGGTTAGCCCTAAGGAGAAAAAAAGGCAGAAAAAGGAGACAGGGGATTCATGAAGGGTGCGATGGGTAGGGATTCAATTTTAGAATGGCTAGCCAGGAAAGGACTCATGAGAAGACAAGATTTGAGTGAAGACCAGAAAGAGGTGAAGGAGTGAGTCATAAAAGCCACATGGGTGAAGGGCATACCAGGCAAATGGAAACACAAGTGCAGAAGTCCTGAATCTGACATATGACTGGAAGGTTCCAAAAACATCAAGGAGGCCAGAATGGCTGAGTTGAACGGGGAACAGGGAGAGTAGTAAGAAATGTTTTGGTCAGAGAGGGAACTGGGAGGAGAGAGAGCAGGTTGGAAGCAGGGCAGAGTGGGTAGGACTTCCGAGCATTGAAAGGACTTTGGCATTTACTCTGAGGGAGATGGTTGTCAAGGCTTCTGATAAACAAGAACTTTTCATTTAATGCAATTTTTGCTGAACAGATATGAAGGGTACAATACTACGGTTCAGTGTCTGGGAAATGAAAATAACTAGTGTCTATGTAGAAGTACATTTCTATAAATAGGCCATTGGGGTATGGTATTTATTGGGCTATGTATTGAAATCTGCCTTTTTATTTGCTCCTAACATATCCTCAAGTCTCACTCCTTCACCGGACTTAGACTCCAATGTCACTGGACTTAGACTCCAATATTTTCTCTGAGGGCTCTATCTGAAATGGCACCTACGATCACTCTCCAGTCCTCTACCCTGTTTTATTTTTCTTCAAAGCTCTTAGCATTATGATCATTATAGAACAGATGGGAGTTCGTGGGTGGGGAGGGGGGGTGCAGGGATTTGAGCAGAGTGACATGGTATGTCTTCTATTTTAACAACATCACTCTAGCTGCTGTGTTGAGAACATATTGAAGGGAGGCAAGGGAAGAAGCAGGGAGATAGTTATTGATGGAATATTGTTTTTTAATCACTGCAATGTTTGACAGTTCATTTGGAAGAGCTTGTATACATGTTAATATTGTTTATACACTCAATGACATGCACCAGGAATTTGTTATGGGTGTGTATATTTTCTATTCTTAAGCCATCCTGAGAAATACAATGTAATATCTGACAATTGTTCCCTGAATTTTTGCTCTAAATTTTACTAAATGACAAGATAAAGACACTAAGAAAACACTCCCTTAACCTGAGAAATAGCACTGTGCCAAGAACAGAAGAATCTATTGCAGCCATCTCTGAGGTTCACGCTATCCTCTACTAAGATAAGTAGATACATAGTGGATACCTGTAGACCAGGGGTCCTCAAACTACAGCCCTCGGGCCACATGTTGCCCCACGAGGACATCTGGCCTGCCGGGTGTTTTTGCTGCCACTGCCTGTCCTGCTTAGCAGCCCACTCCTCCCGGGCCCACAGCGCGCATGTGTGGAATGTGTGCCGCACTCTCCAACGGCCCTCCAACGGTCTGAGGGACAGTGAACTGCACCCCTGTTTAAAAAGTTTGGGGACCCCTGATATAGACTTTGTGGCAAGGATTAGGGAGGACAGTATTTTTCAAGAGTAGGTTTCTCTGCATCACTTACTCTGCCTCTGGGACATGTGACACATTCAGGCCCAGGAAGGTCCCTGGGGCTTGTCTTCCCTTTGCGAAGTAGGGACGAAAAGGAAGGCTCCCCTTGTCAGAGCTCAGCCCTGCAGGATCTGGAATGGCAATACTGCACTTCTGCAGAGGAGCAGACCTTGCAAAGCTTTGCACCAGCAACGGGTTTTGAATCTACCAAACCCATCTCAGGCACCCAACTTCAAAGCCACGCAGTGTAGTGGATGAAAGCATAAAGATTTCAGTTCTGCTCAGTCACCACCTGGTTCCTCTCTGGCCCTTGATTTCCTCAACTTTAATCACGGAAAGTCAAGAGACATTACATGAAAAAAACAAGTTGCATAATAATGTGTCTAGCATGATTCCACTTCCTTATTTGTTTTAATAGTATTGAAAAGCCTTTTAGGCCGGGCACGGTGGCTCACGACTGTAATCCTAGCACTCTGGGAGGCTGAGGCGGGCGGATTGCTCAAGGTCAGGAGTTCGAAACCAGCCTGAGCAAGAGTGAGACCCCGTCTCTACAATAAATAGAAAGAAATTAATTGGCCAAATAATATATATAGAAAAAATTAGCCAGGCATGGTGGCGCATGCCTGTAGTCCCAGCTACTCGGGAGGCTGAGGCAGGAGGATCTCTTGAGCCCAGGAGTTTGAGGTTGCTGTGAGCTAGGCTGACGCCATGGCACTCACTCTAGCCTGGGCAACAAAGTGAGACTCTGTTTTAAAAAAAAAAAAAAAAAAAAAAAAAAGGTAATTGGACTGAAACTGGGTTAATAGAAACAACTTTTAGAGCTAACAGAGTCACAGGGAAAGGAAAGCAGTTTGCCTGTGGAACATCTCAGACAGCGTCTGACCTTCTTGCCCATCTGTCACCCTTCTAGCTTTTTGTTCTTCTCCGTCGCTTCTTCAGGATTACATTGTTTACAAACCAATCCTGACCTGGCAACTCTACATCAACAGAAAGGAAGAGAAGAAAAATGCCCTCCTTAAGTGTCACATGGACCAACCCCGGAGCTGATGGATACAGGTGATACTAAAATAATATTTTGAAAATAGGCCAATTCGCTTCTTAATAAAAGGTAAGTAGGTTACCACAGCTCATTTTTTTCTCACCAATAAGACGTATAGTCCTGTAGCGCAATGCTGATTTTCCATACGGCTTTGCAATGAACTGCATTCTTTTGTTTCCTCAGATTGATTAATTATTCTGGGTTTCAAAGAGGGAGAAATTCCTGGTACTTTATGGAAAAGAATTTAAAAAGCCTGCCTGAAACTTTAAAAACAAGGACTTTGTGAAGTGTAAGGAAGGAAAGGAAAGAAGGAGGGAAGAAGTAAAGACTGAAAACTCACTTGACCTATTCCCCTTTAGAACCAAAAGTTAGCATAGTCTTCTCAGCTTCTTTGGATGTTCATTTTCCTGCATTCAGATTCCCACTTTCCTGCTTCTCTCCAAACTCAGAAACCGGTAACGATCCTGCTTTTAAAACACATGTTTTATTAATAACAGTGAGATTATTACTGTGTTTTTCAGCTTGCTGCAAAAGGCAGTCAGCTCATTTGATTTTATCTCACGTGCGGCCTCTGAGTTGATGCCATTGAATTCAAAGAAGAGGGGAGGACTCAGAAATATGGCTTCGCCTAAAAGGTAAGCATTTTGCATGGTCCTTGTTGGTTGGGTAAAGTAACCCAATAATTAATGTTGTTTTCCACTAGCAAGTCTTCTCAAGAGGACGTTTTAAAAAGACCTGGCATGAAAGTGTGTTTGTGTGTTTTAATTCAAACAAACAAACAACAGGCACACAATCAACACGGATTGTGTAAATACAGATTCTGGTAAACATTAAGAAATTTAACACACAATGCATTAATACTAAGGCCTCTTAAAAACATCCAATCTATTATTTATCCCTTCCTCTCCCCTACCATTATTTGAGCAACATTTTGAAGTAGTTTCTTTCATTTTTTGATCTCTTTTTCTGTTTTTTTTCAAGTTACTGCTTTACATATGATTTATTTATATTGGCTATTGTGGTTTCCAAACATCACAAGGCTTATGTTTATGCATTTAAATCATCTGGGACTCCACAAAAGCAATTGCTTTCATCGCATTCAATATTCATCCTTTCCATACCAATGAGTTTCTAGAAGGCTTTCCACAAGGTCCTTGGAGCCAATGCATTTTCCTGCAATTTTATCTGAAATGATTTAGGATTGGAGAATAAAATCCTTTTTTCTTGTCATAAAAAAGAAAGAGAGATGTTCATATCTAGCATGATTGAGATCATTAAAAATTAGATAGGCCTTAAAAGATCATGTCCATACATAAAATTTCTATAATTTTACAAAATTTCAGAAAACATAGTATTTATGTTTTGTTAGTTTTTTGGTGGGTATACAGAAGGTGCAAATCTTCTGTGAGATGATGGGTGGCTTTTCCAAATCACAAATCTTGGTTCACATTCCTGGCAGAAATGGTTAGGGTAATCCATCTTTGATGGCTACATTTGGAAATATTAAATATCAGGTCTTAAGGCTTTTAAAGTGATAGGTTTGATTTCAGTTTGCTAACTCTTTTCTTCGATGTCTCATTTAAAAAAGAATTCTAAAATTCACTCTCCTTTACACAAGGATGAATTAAACCAATTAAAGGTATACACACGTGGCTCTTACTACAAATTAAAATTCAGAGATTGTTCACAGCAAAAAAAAAAAAAAAAGTAAAGTGGAATTTTAGTAACCTGTTCAAAATCTAACCTATTTGGTCCTTGTTTCTCTAATAGGGATAATTTACTGAAAACAAACAAACAAAAAAACCTAGTTGAATTTTGTGTTGAAAGATAAAAGGGAGACCCCTGGGGACTGGGGTGTCTCGATGGAGGGCACCAAGTTTCTATTTGCCAAGTGCATGGGACTTTGAGTGACTATGATGAGCTAATCACCATAAGGCAAACCAATCTCAGCAGGATTGAAATGTCTGTTGCTTGAATAGTTACCCTAAATTATTGGGTCTTAATGATAGGGTTTTTAAAGATATTGTTGCCATTTATGATTTGTGTCACTGATTTATATAAGTATATGTAGTCAACCTTATTATTCACAGATTATGTATATGTGAATCTGCTTATGCGTTAAAATTTATTTGTAAAAACCCAAATCAATATTCACGGTGTTTTCATGCTTATTTGCAAACATGCAGGAAGTAGTGAAAACTTGCAGTTGCCTGATGTCCATGTTCCCAGCTGAGATTGAACAAAGCAATGCTCTGCCTTCTTGTTCCAGCTCTCGTACTGTAAACAAATATCCTTTTAGAGGTCTATGTAATGCTACATTTTTCACACCTTTGTGCTTTTTGTTGGTGATTTTGCTGTTTGAAGTGTTCCTAAGCACATACTTTATAGAGAAATACATGCATTAGATAAGCTTCATCCAGGCATTGGTTACAGTGCTGTTGATCGTGAATTTAATGTTAACCAAATAAGGTATCTTTAAACAGGACCTCACATAAAACAAGATTACGTGTTGAAATTGATGAAAACGTGACCGAAGGCTCACAGGAACCTAACCCGGTATTTTTCCTTCAAGTAATTGTTTAGCATTTGCTATTTACGTGTTCACTGCAACTTTATAGAACATATGACTGCAAATAATGAGAATCCATTGTATCACATAGCATTTATGATAAATTAATTGGATCAAAGGATTTATTATTTTTATTATTTACTTACCTTTTTTGAAAGAAAATTAAAAAGAAATTAGAAGTATGGAGAATAGTACCAAGAAAGGCCACATAACTATCACATCAAATTCTCAATGAACATTTTGTTTGGTTTAATCTCTTTTTAAAAACATGACACAAAACATTACAGATAAAAATGGAAATTTCCCTTGTTCCATTACTCTATTCCTCAGAGACAACTGCTTCCATGAATTTGTTATGCATCTTTTATTCTATACCTTGATATATTTATGCATCCATGAACCAGACATGCTCATAAATGAACTGAAGGTGTTGTCCTACCTCTTGCTATTTTCTTTCAGCCCTTTGCTTTTGACCTCTATACATGATGATCTGAATAGATTCATCTCATTCCTTTTAATGGCTCTATTCTGTTACATGACTATACCACAGTTTATTATTCATTCTCCAATTGATGAGTATTTTGGTATTAGTAATTTTTTACTATTTTAAGAAGGGCTAGAATGAGCATCTTTGAATGTTTTTCCCTGTGTACATATGCAAGGTTTTTTTAAATCATATTTTCCTAAAAATGAAACTGTTAGATCAGAGAATGAACATCTTTGATTTTAGCAGATATTTCTAATTGGTTTCCAAATGTTTGCACTTTATATATATATATGTATATATATATATATATTTTTTTTTTTTTTGAGACAGAGTCTCGCTTTGTTGTCCAGGCTAGAGTGAGTGCCGTGGCGTCAGCCTAGCTCACAGCAACCTCAATCTCCTGGGCTCAAGCGATCCTTCTGCCTCAGCCTCCCAAGTAGCTGGGACTACAGGCATGTGCCACCATGCCCGGCTAATTTTTTTTTTTTTTATATATATATATCAGTTGGCCAATTAATTTCTTTCTATTTATAGTAGAGACGGGGTCTCGCTCTTTTCTGGTCTTGAACTCCTGACCTTGAGCAATCCGCCCGCCTCGGCCTCCCAGAGAGCTAGGATTACAGGCGTGAGCCACAGCGCCCGGCCTGCACTTTATATTTTTATACTTAGTCCCTGAGAACCCAGAAGAAAATTATATAATATTTACACTAGATTTTCTGGAGACCCTTGTCTAAGTAGTGCTAGGCTGGGAGACCTCAGCCTCTTTGAAGGTGGAAAGTAGGGACTCTAATACATTTAGAAAGCTCTTAGGTTTTACCATGTAAAGCTAAGAACTGACCATTAAAAAAGTAGGATTTTTAAAGACTATTTAAGACATGGACTATGTTCATAGCAAAATGTTTAATTTAAGTGGAGCAGGAAACCAGTCTGTTTTATATTATATACTAATTTTGTTAATGCATGTATATCCAACAAAGGATAAAAGGAATGATAAAAGTGATAATGATGATAACTGGTTCTTTTGATTGATTTTTTCCTTCTCCATTATTACATTTTCTATATTTTCTTGGAAAATGATTTTATACTCTGGATAAAAATAAATAAATACTAAAACAAACAATGCTAATTAAATGATAAAGTTCTAGTCTTTATCAAAATTCCAAAACCTTAATACCTAAACCAGTAGCGTCCTATGATTACTATCTCTATTGCTTAGCTCTGGAAGAATACATGTTCACGAGATGAGTCAAGTGTATATACTCTATTACTAGTTGGTATTTCAGCTCTTAATTCTTCCCCTAACCTGCTGAGAGAGACTGAATTGTATAATGAGTCCTAAGTCTCCACCTTAATTCTACATCACTTTTCAAGGTTGAGTACCAAGCTGGAAACCTACTACCCATTTTACCAGACTAGCACAGTGAATTGGAAGAGGGAAAATAAAAATTAATAGCAAAAAAATGGGAATTATCCATCAATAAAGGACTGGCTAAATAAATGATGTACTATTCCCAGACATTAAAAATCATATCACAACCTCATATGTACTGGTATAAAAGGATCTTTGAGTCATAATTTCAAGGGAAAAACAGATTTATGAAACAGAATTTAAGAATATGAAATTCTGCTAGGCACGGTGGCCTGTGGTCCCAGCTACACAGGAGGCTGAGGCAGGAAGATCACTTGAGCCCAGGAGTCTGAGGTTGTGGTGGGCTATGCTGACACCACTGCACTCCAGCCTGGGTGACAGAGGCCCTCTCTTGAAAAACAAACAAACAAACAAAAAACAGAACATGAAATTCTATATCAATATATCTATCTCTGTATATAGTTACAAAACATGCACATAAATGCACAGAACATTTTGGGAGGATATCCCTCAAATTGTTATTAGCTTCTGAGGATTGAAGCAAGATTTTGAGGGGTGCGGTGTATGTGTGTTTGTGGGGCGGCGGTGGGTTAAAAGGGGACTTTAACATTTTACTGTACTTATGAATTTTAAAAATAATTTACAATGAACCTGTATCATGTTTTACTTGTGTAATTATAATTTTTTTTTTTTTTTTGAGACAGAGTGTCGTTTTTGACGTCAGCCTAGCTCACAGCAACCTCAATCTCCTGGGCTCAAGCAATCCTCCTGCCTCAGCCTCCCGAGTAGCTGGGACTACAGGCATGCACCACCATGCCCGGCTAATTTTTTCTATATATATTAGTTGGCCAATTAATTTCTTTCTACTCATAGTAGAGACAGGGTCTGACTCTTACTCAGGCTGGTTTTGAACTCCTGACCTTGAGCAATCCTCCCACCTCCGCCTCCAAGAGTGCTAGGATTACAGGCGTGAGCCACCACGCCCGGCCCTGTGTAATTATAATTTAAAAGCAAAAGGAAACACATTTAAAAAATAAAAGTACTTTCAAACTCATAGGAAATTGAAAAATGAAAAAAGGGAAAAGAAGAAATGGGGTGTGGAGATGAGAAGCCAAGTATAAAAAGAGACAGTACTCATCCATTCAAACAATTATCCATTGAGTGCCTTTATTTATTAAGGCAGTTGAAAGATGCCAAGATAAATCAACTT